AGATGATGATGAGGTATTAGAAACAGTGAGTACTACTACTTCAACATCATCATCATCGAGGATATTATTACTCTGATAATACAATAACGCTTATTTTTATAGCGTAAACAACAATTAGATCAGATTCTCATGTAGCCAACCATTCATCATCATTATTATTATGCTATTATCTTTACTCTAGTCATAATAGTGTTCTTTACTCTAGTAATCTTAATGGACTATCATGCAAATGATAATGATGATGTACGTCATTGAAAGAGTTGTTGTGTTTTAGTAGAGTAGTAGTAGGAGCCGTGTACCCTTATAATGGATACACTACATACACTGCAATGCACCAGTATACTCTTGTATATGGCTACTCATCATCATAATATGTTTCATCATCCTTTTTATCATCAATAGTCTCTTTCTCATACCCATACCACTAACAATACTATCACTATCAGCGACATATCGTCTTAACCACGACCATCACACTCTCTACTACTAATCATACTACACCTGACTCATCATCATCGGGTGCTCGCGGGGGGGGCTTCGCCAACACAACAGTGACATGCGGTCTCGTTGGCACGCGTCTAGGGTCTATTGCTGTATTAGACAACATTTCCAGGAGAGGCGGAGGCCTATGACCGCCGTCTGGTAACCTCCTATGGCCACATTCACTGTCTTTCGAACCCCTTGGAACATCTGATATCCGCACATCGAGGTACAAGGACAGGACATTTCTCGCGAAAAGGTGGGGAAATGCGAGAATTTCAAGTAGGCAAGACTCAAAATTGTTTCGTGGTGGGCTGGACCTTTACCGTTCATCATCATGGGTACCAATACTTGGAATGTGTCTAGTTGTTGTTCTCTTGAGATTCATGTCGCGGTCATATGAGGATGATAATAAATATTTTACTACTAACAGTGGTGTAGATACCGATTCCTATTATATCAATGATTCTCGGACATTACAAAAGGAGGTACTAATGGTCCAAGAGTATTGATTATGTTTATTATGATGATACAAGCATAGATACGTGATATAAATCACTATATAAGGAGTATAACTAGACGATTAGATATGATGAATAATGATGATGATGATATTGATGGGGTAAGGAAGATGATAGATGAGGCTGTTATGTTAACATCATCAGCACAGAGGGATGTTACTCAGTAATAATACTATTACGGACTATTATGGAGGATATATTAATGGTGGTTAACTTCATATGCAGGTTTAAAGAATATGTTTCTAATGCTCCTACACCACAGGATGCTATGAATAGACAACAAATGTTGAATAAGTTTACTAACAATGTATCAAATGTTGCTAAACAATTAGAAGATGTTATAAAGAGATATGCTAATATTAAGAAGAATACTACTGGTAAGAATGACTGGTAAGATAATGACCGCTAGAGGAGATCTAGGATCATTATGGTATAGAGAGTATAATATTCAGGATACAATACGGGAAGGATGAAGTCATCATCATCATCATCGACATCATCAGTTAAGAGAGCATATCATAATCATCTTAACATCGATGATGATGATGGTCATCATCATTCTCTTACATCATCATCATTACAGAAGAAGGATTATGTAATGCTAGGGGGGAGGGTGATATCATCATAATGCATATGATATTAGTAGGCGGCTTATATTCACAATAACTATAACAACAACAACAACGTGCATAACTTATCGGGTATAGTGCATGATGATGATGATGATGGTCATTATGGACAACATGAGGTCATATATTACTACTAGGGTGTTGTTATTAGTAGCAGTAGTTGTATTGATTTCTAGATACTACGGTCTACTGATCATACATCATATGTGATGACTGAACAACAACAACAAGAGCAAGTGAAGTTGAGTGGTCCAAGCATAGATCTAGAAGAAGGTTTGGTGAGAGATAAGATGAATGATATAAGAAGGATAGGAGCTGAGATGGGTGAATTACAAGATATCTATACTACACTTAATAATGATATGGCTAAACAAGATGATAAGATTGATAGTATTCATGATGCTATGTTGAGAACATTAGATACCACTCAGAAAGCTAATATTGAATTACAACAAGCAACAGATAGAAGAGATACCTCACTTAAACGTAAAGTATATGCATTTACTGCATTAGCAGCAACAGCTGGTCTGTATATACTAATATCATCTATATGATAGGATACTATCATAATCATAATCATCATAATCATCATCATTATCAATATAATGTTGTGTTATTATTGTTACTAGTCAATATCCCTATTAGGTGACGATGTTGTGTTATTATTGTTACTAGTCAACATCCCTATTAGGTGACGATGTTGTGTTATTATTGTTACTAGTCAACATCTCTATTAGGTGACGATGTTGTGTTATTATTGTTACTAGTCAACATCTCTATAACTCTTACCGTTACTCACAACTCAACATAATATTGGTGACTACTATCGATACTTTGTGTTGTTACTTTAATTACATTAACCATGTTAATGATCATTGTTACCCACATGATCATCATCATCATTCCCTTGTGTTATCTCCTTAGCTGTATCACTCAATTTGTTACAAGTATCTTCTAACAACTTCAATAATGATTCCTCAGTGGCTTGTCTATTGCGCCTCTCCTGATGAGAGGACTACCATCTGTATATCGATACCACTACTATTGGTACTACTTCGCTTATCTCTGATTGCATTTTAGCAACAACATCTTCCATCATCCTCAACATAGCCTCTTCACTCTCTTCCCTAATAATACTATCATTATAATTCATAACGCAGAGCACTACCAACACCACCCACACTACCAACACTACCAACACTACCAACACTACCAACACTACCAACACTACCA